TACGTTGCCAAAGCTAATTCTTGATTCTTTGATTGAAGCAAGTATATTCTTCAAAAAGTTGTGTGCAGGGACCTAAATGTTGATTCATTAAGAAATTTTTATGTGAGTATTCTCTTATTATTATGCAGGCTCGAGTGAATATTTCCTCCTGATTGCTTTGACCCTATGGATCATCTGCCTATACATCTATATTACAAGGCTAAACTGGGTGGTTCAATTTAGTACAGATGGATGTATCCCTTCAAGTGGTATGTCTTTCCAGTGCATACAATTGCGAGTTGCATTTTATTTCAGACTAAACTAACACCATATTCAATATAAAATATCTTTGTGTTGCAGATTTTTAAATAAAATCAAAAAAATAGTTAAGAAAGAAGTACATCTAGTGGGATTGATATGTGAATCATACTAGTTTCATGAAACAATTATTTGCTGCTCCTATTATTTTTAGCAAGGACATCAAATAGGTCATAGTGTAGGTGACATGTCTTCACAACCAGAATTATCAATTCAAACATGATGGGAGCCATCAGTGAAGCATGGTATATGATATCTTAGCAATAAAGAGATCTGCGTAGCTACATTGCATGTCCTAATGAACTACGACGAAGTCCAGTCATTTATGCAGTACGATTCATTGTATCCAACTCAATATTGTCATTTCTTATTGAGAATGTTATATATATATATATATATATATATATATATATTAAAATATACAAATTACAATGATGAGAGAAGATATATTTCTCTAGAGCTTGACATAAAAGATGAGTCCCTATTAAGCATGAAAGTTGAAGCATTATTTCAGACATGGTTCAAATTATATATACATTGAAGCAACTTGTTAAATCACATGTATGTAATATAATCGTCATGTTAGAAGTTAGACTAATAGCACCTTTGGAATTGTTATAGGTTCACAATACTAGCAACATAATCACATATTAGAGATTACTAGATCTTTCTTGGGGATCTAATCACAATGTTGCTACATGACAGATTGTTGATGTAAACGGTTATAGATTTCATACAAGTTCCTATTGTGAAAGGAAGAAGACATATAACTGTGTTGTCGTTGTTAAAGAAAACACACATACACAAATAGTGATGTTAGCTTTTACGGTCTTGAAGAAGTAATTCAATTATAATATTTGGGTAATGTCAGCTACATTGCATACTTGTTCAACTATCAGTGGTTCAATTCTGTTATGAAAAGAGGAACCCAAACACATATGCCTTATGATATCATTGAAGTCAAATTGAATAGATGATGTGCAAAGTTTGGTCCATTTGTTCTGGCACACCAAGCTACTAGGTTTATTACCTTTGATACCCTGATAAAGCAAGGGATAAATTTGATTGGGTTATTGTTATGAAGAATAAACCAAGGAATACTATTGAGTTGTAAAGTATTATAGAAACAAATGACCAAGAGGAAGGTTTGTCAGATTTTTGTATTCTGGTCAGCATAAATGATGAAATGTTTTTGTTAGAGGATGCTAAGGTGATTTTTGAAGAGGTTCCTTATGATATGGATGAGAATAATGATGAGACTATAGAAGTAATTTTAAGTTCATCTTCGTTGATGAGTTCCTCTAATGAAACTTAATAATAACGGTATGTAATTTTGGATTAGGGGTTACTGCTTCTTTTAGATTTGTTGTTTTTAGACATAGCTGCGACATGTTACCTTCTCATGTTTACTTTTGCTACTTTTATCTTTCCTTTCCTTTTTTATTTTTTACTTTTACTTCTACTCATGATTATATTTGCTGACGGTACTAATTTTATTAATGTCCTTCCTTTATTTACAAGAGGCCGCATATGGTGCAGGTGGTCAACCACCTTAGAAACTCTATGTTCTCGAAACATTAGAAACCAACTATCGAAGCAGGAAGACGAGGTCATTTTCTTCTGTTATAGCTTCCGCACTTGCTCCCCCATCTGCTACTATCACCCCTTCTGCAAGTCCTGCCCTCCCACCTACTACTACCACACTTTCTGTGCCACTTGCTTCCCCGCCTACTGTTCCCACACCTACTCCCCCAACTGTTGTGAGTGTTGCTATTAGTACACCTACTACCCCATCTACTTCGACACCCACACTTCCTCACTCTCCCCCCAACCAGTTCGAGCCTCACCTGCTTCAACACCTTCTGAGTCTAACCCCTCGACTCCTACACATGTGAGGATGCATTTAACTTTAAAGGTGGACTCGTAAGTTATTTTGAACAAAATATGTTTATTTGTCATTTTATATACTTTTATATAACTAATTTTTTCTTAAGCAGATCCATTCCCCACAAGATGTCTATCACCTACATCACAGAGATAATCCGGAGCAGATAGGATCACCCGTATATCTCTTAAAAGTAGACCCATGTTGCCACTTGGGACTTGTGGTTCAGGGAGTTTGAGGTAGAATCTTGTAATTTGGACCAAAATTGTAAATTTAGATTATTTTTTTATACTAACACATTTATTATTTTTCTTGTTGCAAAGATCCTTGACCTGGCTCCTAAAGCACCACCATCATATCCACCAAATCTTCTACATTCGGGGCAGACATCAGCTTGAGGGCATGTTCACAACTGCCTACCGGAAAGGCGAGTGGCTTTCCTGAATCAATGAGAAGCTCTAGGGTTAGTTGAATGTAGCATCGGCCTCTTCTGCCTATGAGAGGAAGAGACAGATGAACCAGACAATGGAGGGAGCCAGAGGAGCTGTGCTCCATATTAGAGAATTTGTCCCCCATACGGAGCACTACAAGAGGCTAGTAAGATTCTTTTAAATTTTTAAAATTTAATCTTTAGTGAATTATGTGGTGCTAACCAATGCATATGCTACCCAGGCCAAGGAGTTAAGACGTGAGCCCTCCATGTTGAGTTGCATGTCCAAACCCATCAGCGCCCGGAGACACAATAGTGGGTCTCGAAGCATTCTCGCCGGGTTGCTATCAGTAAAAAAAATTAAACTTTATTTTAACTCTTATTATTCAAAGTGATAATTAAACAATGGTTTTTACTATGCAGGAAGAGTTTGACAAGCTCCAGGAGAGGCACTTAACCACTCAATCCTAGAGATCTACCAGTAACAGTAGTAGTCATTCTACCACTGTTCAGTCTGAGTTCAAGTTTTGGACTAAGGTGACAGGAAAGAAGATGGGGAGGGTCTATGGCCTCGTTAGCTAGCCTTCGAGGTCGATATCTCTCGTGGTCCTATACTAAGTTTCCCGAACTCCTCAGATCAAAATGCTCTTGCCAGGCAGGTCGCTGCAATGAACGAAGAACTCTGCCAATTGCATGAACAGTTGTTAAAAGGTCAACATATAGCTGAGGATTCTATAGCGCGCTTGGAGGAGAGTATAGCAGTTCACCGTGGCAAGCGGTCGATGACATTCATAGGAGAGGAGGATGAGGAGTTAGTTCGTATGTTTTTCTTTATTTTTCAGCATTACTTTGAATATTTACTCTTAAAATTTTGGTTAATTTTATTGTTGATGTATTTGGGACAATTTGTGACATTATTTTACTTGTCATTATTGATATTTGTTTGAGTTATGATCTGTGTTGATGTCGTTGGATAAAATGTTGTTGTGATATGAATTCTTTGTTGTATGCTGGTGAAAATCTAATTGTTCTTTTATATTATTTTTTTAGTGTAGCATGTTTGCGTCTGTTTTGCATCGAATATTTTGACTCTCAAACGACAATAATTTTTTGTCGTTCATCGATATTTTATGTCGCTAATCCAAGGATAATATGACGCATAAGTTTAACGTCAAATTTAATCGACGCAAATTCGGATGCACGTGTAGCATCAATGCAAATCGATGCTAAGTCGTCACAGATAAGACACAAATATATTACGATGAATTTTTTCGACGCTAAAGAAACACATATTGCATTATCGACCCTCAATTTACCCACGAAAAAAAAAACACAAACATAAAATATATGCAAATCAAACAATAACCCTCAAATATCGTCGCATTAGTCTCTAATTTACGTCTGATATTGCCGATGCAAATTTGTTGAATATCTGTAGTGTCACTTCCCATGTTTTTTCCTGGAAATATATTTCTTAAAAGTAATTTTATGTCATAGATTCTACACTTCAAAAAAAAAAACAAATTAAAATGTGATGCATCCTATGCCATTGTTTGGTTGCAAGTAAGATTTAGTTCAAATAGAATACAGTAAATCATATGAATCCAGATTTATAAAATTTTAAAGAGGCTAAATCCTCAAAATTTTATTGTATGTTAATGAGTAAATTCTAATAAATCATAAAAAAATAGTTTAATAATTTTAGTAGGATTTAAAAGAATTTCTGTTTTCCTACACTTTAGCTTCTCCAAACGCCATAAATCTCTCTCCCAATAATATTTCCTAAAACCAGATTTAAAACCAAATTACCAAAAAGCAGGATTTAAGAATCCGTAAAATTTAGGGATCTCTATTTTTCCCATATGGCAGGATTTAAGCAGCATATCATTGCAAGTAAAATGCAGGCTTAATTGAATCAATCAAAATTGGTAGCAATTCATTCCGTTGCACTGCTCGTTGGCCAGCGACCAGCTTCCAAGCCAAAATATGTGCCAGCTTCACCCCCTCTATAAATAGCAACGCGGCTTTCCAATTATCTTCAGCCCGACACGTTCTCCGCAATTCCTGTTCCATTAGCCACCCAAAAACACTCGGCCATCCATTCTCCCGCATCCTTCTCTCCCTCCCTTCCATCTCCATTCCCTTCGTCCATCCCAAACCACTCCCCCAATTCCCCATCCTCCCTCTCCTCCCATGGTCCCCGTCAACTCCTCCTCTCTCTAGCCCTTTTCCTCCAAACCTCGAGGAGGCCATACCACAATGGCTCTCCTCCTCCCCTTGCTCTTCCTCCTCTCTTCCCACCCCCTCGCTCACTCCCTCCCCACCCTCCGCATCGACGTTGTCCACCCCCCCTCCACTCTCGCCCCCCTCCCCCACTCCCCCCCTCTTCCGCGAAGCCCCCCCCTTCCGCAACTCCGACGACTGCATCCCCCCCACCCACATCAACATTGCCATGACCCTCGATGCTAACTACCTCCGCGGCACCATAGCTGCCGTTCTCTCCATCCTTCAACACACCTCCTGCCCTGAAAACATCTCCTTCCACTTCCTCTCCTCCCGCTCCAACCCCCACATCACCTCTACCATTCGATCCACCTTCCCTTACCTAACCTTCCACATCTTCCTCTTCGACTCCATCCGTGTTCGCGCTCGCATCTCCCGTTCCATCCGCCAAGCACTCGACCAACCCCTCAACTACGCTCGCATCTACCTCGCCGATATCCTCCCCCACAACGTCCAACGTGTCATCTATCTAGACTCCGACGTCATCCTAGTGGACGATATTCGCAACCTCTGGAGAGTGGACCTCGCGGGTCAGGTTATCGCCGCGCCGGAATACTGCCACGCTAACTTCACCAAATACTTTACCGACGCATTTTGGGCAGACCCGGGGTTTGCCCGAACTTTCAAAGGCCGTCGTCCGTGTTATTTCAACACGGGGGTGATGGTGATGGACGTGCAGAAATGGAGGGCGGGGAGGTACACGGGGATGATGGAGGACTGGATGGGGGTTCAGAAGCAGAAGAGGATATACCATCTCGGGTCCTTGCCGCCGTTCCTTCTGGTGCTGGCTGGTAACATCAAGGCTGTCGATCATAGATGGAACCAGCATGGGCTTGGTGGGGATAACATCGAGGGCCGCTGTAGGAAGCTGCATCCAGGACCTGTTAGCCTGCTTCATTGGAGTGGAAAGGGGAAGCCATGGCTGAGATTAGATTCGAGGAAGCCGTGCAGTGTTGACCAGCTCTGGGCTCCTTATGATCTGTATAGATCTTTTTCGCCCACTCTTGAATGATAGAAAGCTGATGAAAGAGGCGGGTAATGAGTCTTGCATGGGAAGGGGAAGGCACGTTGAGCAGAGATTGTCATGCACGTATATATATAATATGCAAAGCAGAGGCTGATGGAGACCAGATTGAGAGTCGGGGTTTCTTGAAGGAGAAGAGAGAGAGAAGTAGAGGACAATGAAGAGCTGAATGCTCTGCAAATGGAATTGAGAACGATATGGGGGAAAGCAACATGATATATTTAGGGGTGATGTTGCTTTCATTGAGGTAGCGGGTAATTAAATTAAGAGTGTAACGGTTCACTAATAAATCGATGAGGCCCATTTGAAAGAGCAAATGAGAAATAAGGATGGGGATTTTTTTTTAAATTTTTTTTTTCATTTTATTTTTGTATTTTTAAAAAAAATTTTTTTAAAATTTTTTTTTCATTTTATTTTTGTATTTTTAAAAATTTTTTTCTTTACATGGGATGGTTGTAATAATGAGTACCCAAATTGTGCTAAATTTTTTTTTTCATTTTATTTTTGTATTTTTAAAAATTTGTTTCTTTACATGGGATGGTTGTAATAATGAGTACCCAAATTGTGCAGAAGATTTGGGGAAAAAAAAAACAAAGTAATCTAACCTTTTGGTTAGACATGGATAATATTTTTTGGGTATGGTTGTTGCCCTTTTTTTGCAGGATTGTCAGACCAGTAGAGTTGAGTCTATTTTATTATTCGGTGGGTTTATTAATGAAGATAGAAGATTTGGGAAAAAAAAAAAGCAAAGTAATCTAACCTTTTGGTTAGACATGGACAATGTTTTTTTGGGTATGGTTGTTGCCCTTTCTTTGCAGGATTGTCAGACCAGTAGAGTTGAGTCTATTTTTTTATTCGGTGGGTTTATTAATGAAGAATATATATTGCTTTGTTGTAATGATTTAATGATACTATTTATTTATCATGATTTTATAAATTGATTTTTGTTTGTCGTGGTTTTGTGAATTGATCCAATTATATGTATTAGAGTTATTTTCATTTTAAAAATAGATTTTAAACCAAACAGTCTTTAATTATTTTCATGAATAAAATAATGATAGAAAATCAAAATTGTAGATGCTACCAGTTTATGCGGAAGAGTTAAAGGCATAATTTTAAGGGGAAGGGCTAGTTTAATTGGTACCAAAGAAATTGAAATGTGTTTGGCGGAGGCATGCCTCTTTAACCATGAGGCCTGCATTCAAGCTATTAACCATCTTTTCTTTTTTGATAGCTTAGTTGTTCAAATAAATAAAATAAAATAAAGTCATAAACAAACTAAGTATTCCATGTACATAGCTTTTTCTTTGGCCTAGATGGCCTTCTTCAAGCAAAATTTATAATAGTGGCTGCTCATTTTATGTGGAAGGTTGGGATAACAAAGCAAAATAGTCCTACCCTTTGGCCACAAATTGACAATTTTTTGGATGTGGTGGATACTTTTTCATTGTCGGATTGTAAAATCAGTAGAGCCAAGCTTATTCATTCTTTGGTGGGTTTAGTTGAGAATTTATGTTGCATTGTCATATTGATTTAATTACAAATATTTGTTTATCAAGGGTTGATAAATTAGTCTTGTATGTCATGTGATTTCTAAATTGGTTCAATTATGATTTCTTTTTAATTATATCAAAGTTATTTCCATTTTAAAAATAATAATCTTTAATAATTTTCATGAATAAACAAGGATAGATAATCAGAATGGTGGATGTTACTAGAACAATTGTATAATATAAAAGATGAGGACATAATTTTATTAGGATTGGCTAGTTTAATTGGCACTAGAACAATTGTGATGTGTGGTTTGTAGAGACATGTTTGTTGACCTCTTTTTTTTATTAATATAGTTTCCTAGTTTAAATTTAACTGAAGTTTACTTGAGTTGGGTCTTGAGAAAACTCTAATTTAATAAAATTTAGATTTAACTTAACAAAAATAAAATTAATCAAAACAAACTTCAAATATAACTCTTTTTTAATCAAACCATAAAAAGCTTAAAATCAGTCTTAATCAGAAAAAACTTGAGATTATCATTTTCTCTTCTAAGTTCAATGTAGGGCTCAAAATTTTATTCTGAATGTTACATAATATTTATTTTCACATGTAAAGACTATACAAACAAGTTTGATAACCGTTTGAAATATTTTTTATGTAAAATTTTCATTTCAATTTTCTTTCATGAATAATATATCTCACAAACTCTAAAATTATCATTATCTCTATAGGTCAATCCAATCATCCAAATTACATTCCGTAATTTCCTTAATCTTCATAATCACATATGAAGAGTAAGCAAATCAATTTGGTTGTCATCGGACATAGTATTTATGTAAAATAATGCACTTAGATTATCCATGCACGAAAAACAAGTTATTATTTTTCAGAATGAACTTTGTCATTTTGTATGTATCATTGAAACATTTCAAATGAGCCCCTCCACGCCTAAATCTAAGTCTGTTTGGAGGTCGATTAAGTTGATAATAATCAGGAGAGAAAACAATAATTTTGATAATAAAAAGAATAATTTGGTCATCAATACCTCAAAATGACTTCAAATAAAGTTTGGACTTCAATTAAAGTTGTTCTAAATTAAAAAATACACAATTTAGTCTAATAAAATTAACTAAAAACTTTAACTTAAAATCTATCATTATCTCTCTTCTAAGGATTTGGGCCCAACTTGACTTGAAATATCTTCACATGGGGCTTGTTTTAATCAAAACCACATGCACTATTGATTTCCTTGCATTTTTCTTTACCTAATGAGCCCAAGTCAAGATTTTGACTATAACCAATTTGTAACCACCTTGCAACCAATTTTTAACTGTCTGACCATTACCAATGCCTAAAACTTGAGCTAGACATCTCCTTATTCAAAATAGTTTAGATCATTGGACTCTTGTTTCATCCTCTTTCAGATGACATATACTTACATTTTTTCATAATAGCCCTAACTACCTTGGCAAATTACTAAAATAACCCTCTTTCCTCCATTTTCTTTAATCTAAGCCCTTCGTTCCTTTTTTTAACTTCCCCTTCCAACCTTCCTCATTTTACCACCTCAGCAATCCACCTCCTCCCTCCCCATTTGTCCACTTCATCAACCTACCTCACACTCTCACTCCCAAGTCAACACACATCCTACAATAGTCTGGTCTAGAAATCTAGGTTAGATTACTATACACTCAATAGATAGATTTAAGGACTTCCTACCCCCCTTGGATTATAGGGCATCATATGAGAAATTGACTCATTTTTATTGATGAAGGTACGTAAATCACTTAATAATAAGACAATATACCAGACCTCCTATTAATTTGTTGGTTATTAATTTAAGAATTTTAATACACTTGGGAATATGGAAAGTTATGGACATCTTGACCGGGGGCATTATTTCCAAAATTTTAGTTAGTTCACTTATTAGCCTCCTTTTTAAATTTTTTTCAGGTTAGGGCTTCATCTCCATCTAGAAATTCCCTACTCTTCCTACCCCTTAATTTATCTATTCCAACTCAATTTCAAATCATGTTCAATTCAAAGTCAATTTTAACTCAATTTCAAACTTAATTCCATACTCATTAGTCTCAATTCAACTCAATCCCAACACAACCTCAATTCAAACTCAAATCCAATTTAAGTTGGCCCAATTTCAATTCAGTTCAATTCAACTTTGAATCAACTCCAAATCTAAACCTTAAACTTGAACTCAATATCAGAATTCATATCTTTAATCCTGAATTACTTGCTTTAAACCCTATCATTTCATCATTCTTAAAACTCAAACTCAAATTTGAACTTCAAAACCAAATCTAATAAAATTTATTCAAAATTTTGTTAACTTCAATAAACTTTAACTTTAAACAAATTTTAATAAGGGTTTAACAAACTTTAATAAATTTTAATAAAACTTCACTAAATCAAACATCTTTAAAATTCAACAAAAAAATTAATTAGCTTTAACAAACTTCAATAAATCTTAGCAAACCTAAATAAATTCTATTAAACTTAGCTTGGCTTAATGAATTTGAACAAAACCTAAATAGAATAAATGAATTTCTATAAACTTTAACTAGAAATTAATAAAGCTTTAAAAGTTTTAAACAAAATTAAAAATAAAAGTCAAAGAACTTTAATGAATTTTAATTAACTTTAATAGGTAACGATCAATCTTAAATATTTAAATAAACTCAAACAAATTAAAATACTAAATAATGCTTAAATGAACTTTAATAATAAAATAAAATTTAAAATAGTCTTTAAACAAAATTAATAACTTTATTCAACTATAAAAAATCAATTTCAAAAGACTTACATAAACAATTTTTTAATAAATATAAATAAAACTTAAAACATACTCTCAAGAAACCATTCTATAATTTAATAATAAAATTAAATCAAATCAAATTTCAATATCAACCCAAAAAATCTAAGAAGAAAACTAAATTTCAACAAACTCAAGTTCTCAGCTCAAATGAAATCAATCTTCACCAAGCCCTTCCAAATATTCTAATTTCATTCAAATCATTTCAAAATCCTCAAACTCATCCATCTGAGCCTTCAAATCTATTATCTCAAAGACCTCAATGATTGTGAAAGATATAAGAATTTTAATCCAAAGTATTCTTGGGAGCCACCACTCTTTATATGTAAAGAGCTATGTGGGAATCCCCTCATAGGGATATCAATCCTCATAATTGTGTATCTTGCACTTGTAAGATAAAAGGAAAAAACTCTAATTTTGTAGACCAATAAATCATGGATATTTTCCTCATCTGAGTGGTTATATCCATTCTAAGTCAATATTTCTATGTTTAGAATAGTATATTATTCTTTGAAATGTCATTTCTGATCATTTAGATATAAACTTTTGAGATCTATGATGCCTACACAATAAAAAAAAATCCCACCAGTGATTTTTCTAGATACTCCATTGGAGATGATTCCTCTTTTCATCTTTAGTATTGACTTAAATCTTTCCCTTCATTAGTAATATGTATGTACCCCTTTACAGATTCATATTACCCATCTTTTTTGTGTTGGATTTCTTT